TTAATTTACCTTCCTTTTTATTTGCTTGCTTTTCATTAGCTTGTGTCATCACAGCCTTCAGGTCCCTCTTCAATTAGACTTGACCTCCTTTATAACCAACTCACTCCAGGGTTTAGGTCTTAGTTTACCTGTTTTACTGTGCTATGTATAGAGGTAGCAAAATGTTTTCCGTCTCAATATGCTTCCCATGTCTAATTCAGCGAAGTTCTGTACATCATGTTGTGCAACCATCCCCAACATTCCAGAATGTTCCATGACCTTTAACAGAAGCTGTGTTCCCTAAATGAGTCCCCCTTTCTCCAGACAACCCTGGTAATTCACTAGTACCCTAAGGTCTGTGTGCACTGCCTATAGCTGGATCAGTTCATGCTTGAGGCAGATCCATGTAGTATCTGTCATTTGTAACTGACTTGCTTTACCCAACCTGGTGGTTTCAAGGCTCGCTGATGTAGCAGGCGTCAGGACTTTCTTTCTTTCTGGGATGTTTGTATTTCACTGTGTGTGTGCACCTTAGGTCAGTTATCCATTCACCTGGGGTTTCCATCCTTTGCATTATGAATAGTGCTGCGATGAAAGGTGTTGTACCATCGTTTGCGGGATTGCTGGATCTTATGTAATTCTATGGGCAGGGGCAGCGAAAAAGAGCAAAGCCCTTGGCAAGACAGATGGACCCGGGGCAGCCACAATGGACTCAGACACAAGAGCGAGTGTGAGGATGGCCCAGGACTGGGTGGTGTCGTGTTCCGCTGTGCACAGGGCCCCTTGGAGCTGGAACTGACAACACCACCTAATTTGATGTTTTAACTTTTTGAGGAAGCTTCCAGTTATCTTCAACAGCTGCCACACCATTTCACATCCCTCCTAGTCATGGAGGAGGGTTCTCTCCATCCTCACTAACACCTGATGGTTTCCGTATTTTATCAAGCAGTCATAGCCATCTTAGGGGTCATGAAGTGACATCTTATCTCTTTGATTAGAGTCATCCTAGTAAGTGTGAAGTGTTACATCACTTCTGATTTGCATTTTCTAGGTGACTAATACCCTGGGGCGTCTTTTTGTGTACATCCTTGCCCTGCAAGTATTTATTTCCCTAGGAGAAATGTCTGTTCCAGTCCTTTGCTTACTTTGTCATTGGTTGTCTTTTTATTGAGTTTGGGTTTTTACAGCTGGACTTGGGAGAAAAGTTGTGATTGGCAAAGGTTTTTTCTCATTCTTCACGTGGTCTTTTCACTTTTTCTCCCTTTTTTGATGGTGTGTTTTGAGTAGAAAAGTTTTTGAGTTACTGAGAGTAGGAGTGAAACAAAAGAGGGTTTAAGTCCAATTGAGCTATGCTTTGTACAATTAGTGCTAAGAAGCCATTACCTAGCTAATGTTCTGACGAGTTCCTTTTAAAACAAAAATACCCCATTGTGTTTTCTATGGAAATGTGCACAGCAAATCAGATTCCCAACTAACAATTTCTACGAATTGCTCCGTGGCATGGGCTACACTTTTCACAGTGAGCCTCCTGCTTTCCCTGACCCCTTAACTCTCCTCTTTGCTTTAGAATCCGTGGTGACTACTTGTCCTCAGAGAGATGATTTCTGAAAGGATCGCAGTACTCATTGATGATACTGTTTATGAGCCAGTCTCTCACTGAGCTGAACGACCATCTCCAGTAGTTTGTGTTCAGAGTTTAAAGCATAGTTCTCTGGCCTATCATCTCTTTAGTACCTCTAGTCTTAATTAACCTAGTAAATCTGCACTTTTAAAGAGAATTTGAGTTTTAAATAGATGTATATCCCATTTTATCAGGCCCATGTGTTTTGCTTCTAATCAGAACAGTCTGTCATAGTAACTGGGCACCACTATGTCTGATCTCAGGGTGGGTAAGGTTGTAGTTTGTTTAGGTTACTAGCTACTCCCGTCGACTAGTTTCTTCTTGAACCTTGTCTCCCTTTCGCCCACACGCATATTCCTTGGTGATGGTTGGAAACTTGTAATGTTATGGCATTTACCCAAAACGTCCTTTACTGGGTACTTCCAAGTGACATCATTTACTTACCCACCTTTCCGTACCTATCCCATCGCGGAGGTAACAAGAGAGCCTAAGTTGGTAGGGTCTCCTCCTCCTCCACCGTTTGGCTGATGATCGGAAATTTACTTGTCTGCTTTCTTCTCAAGTTTTAACACTCACGTTTAGGCTTGTGATACTTCAAGTCGATTGGTTCAGTTTTATGCAACGTTTAATTTCTGCCCAAAGCACGGGCTACGTTCCGAGCAC